TGCCTGCCGTGACCCCGTGTGCCTGCCGTGACCGCCTGACCATGTGCTTGTCATGACCCCGTGTGCCTGCCGTGACCCCGTGTGCCTGCCATGACCCTGTGTGCTTGCTGTGACCTCCTCACCATGTGCTTGTCATGACCCTGTGTACCCCCCGTGACCCCATGTACCCTCTATGACCGCGTGTGACTGCCGTGACCCCGTTTACCCCCTGACCGCATGTGCCCACCATGACCCTGTGTACCCGCCGTGACCCCAAGTGTCCACTGTGACCCTGTGTGCCTGCTGTGACCCATGTGCCCACTGTGACCCCATGTGCCTGCTGTGACCCCGTTTGCCCTCTGTGACCCCATGTGCCTGCCGTGACCCCATGTGCCTGTCGTGACCCCCTGTGCCTGCTGTGACCACGTTTGCCCTCTGTGACCCCATGTGCCCGCTGTGACCCCGTGTGCCTGCTGTGACCCCGTGTACCTGCTGTGACCCTGTGTGCCTGCCATCGACACGCATGCCTCAGTGGCCCTGTGCTCCTGTGTGAGTGCCCGCTGTGACCCCGTGTACCTGCCATGACCCCCTGTGCCTGCCGTGACCCCCTGTGCCTGCCGTGACCCCATGTGCCTTCCGTGACCCCCTGTGCCTGCCGTGACCCCGTGTGCCTGCTGTGACCCCGTGTACCTGCTGTGACCCTGTGTGCCTGCCATGACCCCGTGTGCCTGCCGTGACCCCCTGTGCCTGCCGTGACCCCCTGTGCCTGCCATGACCCCGATTGCCCTCTGTGACCCCGTGTGCCCGCTGTGACCCTGTGTGCCTGCCGTGACCCCGTGTACCTGCTATGACCCCGTGTGCCTGTCGTGACCCTGTGTACCTGCTGTGACCCTGTGTGCCTGCTGTGACCCCGTGAGCCTGCCGTGACCCCGTGTACCTGCCGTGACCCTGTGTGCCTGCCATCGACACGCGTGCCTCCGTGGCCCTGTGCTCCTGTGTGTGTGTACCTGCCCCGTGTTGCGTGTTCTGGTGCTGGGTTGTCTCCACCTGCCTGGAGTGCCCGTGGAACGCTCTAGACCTCATCCTTTGCACTGACTGAGAGGAGGGGCCATGGCCTCTCTGGACAGTGGGCTCTGCATGCCAGCCCAGCTGTCACGTCTGTCTGAGCATATGTTCGGAGGGCTGGGCCTGCCCTGGACCTGGCCCAGGTCACGGAAAGCCCTGTCCTCCAGGACACCATGCTTCCTTAGGCTCCATGTGGGCAGGAGCTCCTGGAGGGGTCAGTGCCAGCTGGACAGGACCAAGGTTCAAACTGCCAGTGGTCAGCCTACAAGGTCATACAGCCAAGGTGTAGGGTCACTTGGCTACTATAGGAGCACACGGCCGGGGGTCAGCCCGGTACAGGTCACGCAGCCACAGTGGGCAAGGGTCACATGGCCAGACTTCAGCTGATGATGGGTCACCTGGGAACTGTAGGCGGTCACAGGGTCACTTTAAGGGGGGTACACACAGTCAAGGGTCAGCATACCATGTGATGGTGTGGCCATTGCAGTTAGAGGGTGAGTAACTAGTGTGAGAAAGGAGCATTTAGGAAGCCTGGCCCTGTGGTTACTAGGGCTGTGTGTCCCAGTCCCTGATATCCATCTGTCCCCACCCCAGTACCTGTCTGTCCCCACCCCAGTACCTGTCTGTCCCCACCCAAGTACCTATCTGTCCCCACCCCCAGTTCCTGTCTGTCCCTACCCCAGTACCTGTCTGTCTCCACCCCCAGTTCCTGTCTGTCCCCACCCCCAGTACCTGTCTGTCCCCACCCAAGTACCTATCTGTCCCCACCCCCAGTTCCTGTCTGTCCCTACCCCAGTACCTGTCTGTCCCACTACTCCCAGTACCTGTCTGTCCGCACTCCAGTACCTGTCTGTCCCCACCCCAGTACCTGTCTGTCCCCACCCTCAGTACCTGTCTGTCCCACTACCCCCAGTACCTGTCTGTCCCCACCCCAGT